GATTGAGGGGGAGTGAGAGGTGTCTCTTGTCTAGTGGTTTCTAGGCAGAAATTTCATTGGGTAGAGATTAAGTGAGGAGTTGTAAACTGAGAGTTTAGCTCTGAATTAATTATGCTAATAGTGGATTTCCTTCATGGCTTGGTAGCCCCCAAATGTAGGTGATGTTGCACCGAACTGGGTTAACAATTCATTGTGTTTTTTGTCATTCAACATTTACAATTCTGCACTATTTAAATGGTTAGATAAATAGTTATGTTAGTCTGCTGATGTTACAACTGATGTCATAACATTGTTAATTTGTAAAGGAATTTAAAATGGTCATGTTCTGTCTTTGTTCTGTTTTAGCAGAGATCAATGTTATTGGCATCTGTTAGGACATTTGAGATCTATATACCAGAATTTCAATGACCATTGGATCAAGGATTGAGGAGTAATCGAAAAAGTCAGAAATTAGGGCTTTGAAAAGGGCAAGACCATAACTTCCTAGCCACACATCCAATTGAGGTGGTTCAAAGCTTGTCGGAAAGGTCTTGGCAAACCCTACAAAAGTGTAAAAGTGACCTATGGGCAAAAAATGCATAGACTTGGAGTTATAGTCAAAATCATCACAAGAGGTGTTTTTGACCTAGTTCCACTTGGAATTTGAAAATTCCCAAAACATGAAAGTTGTAGAGCTCCATGAGGGCTTTCCAAAAAATACTAGAACTCTTCCATAGCCTTAGTGAGGTGAATTACAATTTCTCTAATTCTATCCTAGTTAGGATACGTAGGTAGAGGATGCGATATCTTTGAGATCAAACTTAGAAACTATCCTTAGGTCTTTACCTTTTTACCCCATCCCAAACCATAGAAAACATCTAGCAAGTATAGCATACAAACATACAAAAGGTTCCTGTAGAGTACTACAGATGTTTAGGATGTGAAATACCTACCCTAATCATACCCAACCCTCGATCCCCGATCTCTTAGCGTTGTTATTACATCGCGCAAAAAGTTTTTCTTTCTTTAACCTTTCCTTTGGATAAATCAAAGTCCGGTTGTGAATTTAATGAATTAAGATTCAAGTTAATCAATAGCTTGGTATCACGATTCTCACTGCAACACCATTAATTTAATTATTTTAAATAATATAAATAATAATATTATATGTTTCAAAATAAATAGCATACGTTAGCTATATAATTGCCGGAAACTAAAAGTTAGTGAATTAAATGCAATGTCATAGTCATTCCAATGCAAATTCTTTATAATCATCGTTAACTATAAAAAATTTAACTATTAAAAACCTAAAGATGCTCTTAGAATACACAACTGTGTAAGGAGATTCAATTACGAAGAACAAATAAAAGACTAAGTTAACAAGCAACAAAACATAAGACAATACAACTTCAAATTTTATTATTTGTAATTTTACTCGTTTTTTGTAGATTTATAATTATGAAACAATGTATTTTCTCTAAAAAAAATTATATTTAAGGTGAGTAAAGTAACTCTCTTCAATATAAATACTCGTGTGTCCCTACCACTACCTAGCACAAAAGCATTACAAACTTCAATTTCAAACATATTTTAGAGTGTAGTTACTAGCTTACTGGTAGCGATACACGCGTCGCAAAAGAAGAATCGTCACTCATCATCTAAATTTGTTATTGAGTGACTCACTCTTACTTATTGACGCTACTGATCTATTTCATTTTGTCAAAACAACGAAAAAGAAGAGAATTTTCTCGAGCTTCTCCATTGCTGATTTTTCCCATCTTTGTATGCATGATCGATTTGATTTTTCATTGAATTATTTAGTGCAATTTTTGAAATATTTTCCATCTATGCGTGTATTTCATATATTTTTTGATCCTTTTATTTTACAGCGATCGTTGTTCGAACATCAAAGGGATCTGAATCTAGTACTATATAGTTAGCAAAGGAGAAATCTAGGCGAAGATCTGATTCCAAAATTGACGGTATGTTTTCAACTCTATAGCAATTTCTCCATTGTCCCTTTTTAATTATGTGATTGATTGAGTATTATGCATTTGAAATGCACAGATACAAATCACTATGTAGTTATGACATGTGTGATTGTTGGATCAAGATCAGACGATGTAGAAATCACGCATATTTTATTATTATTTTTTAAATCTATCATCAATTTTATCCAACGTCCATCGATGTCCTGACAAGATGGATAACATATTTGAATCAATCCAAAGAAAAACCATAAATCAATCTAAAATTTATAAATTTTACAAAACCGAATATTATCGGATGTGAAAACCACTTGAATTGAATTTTATATTCATTTTTCAAAATTAAAATCAAATTGAAACAAAACCCATACATATATTTTTAATATTTATTTAGTAAAGCGAGATATTACATTAATATATATTTTCTTGATTTACTTTTAATAATTCTTATTGATTTAATAATTTATATATATTTTTTAGCATTTTATATATTTTAAAATAAACATTGTAATTCCATATTGTTAATTTTTTGTTTAACAAATTTTTGGCTTAAAATATAACACTTGTTCAAAATTATTTTAATGAAAGACTTGCAATTGTAATTTTGATCATCAAAATTAAATCGTATTTGATTAGATCAAATTAATTTTGTTAAATGAATTATCTAAATAAAATTGAACACATGTGATTTTAATTTTTATATCAAATGTTTTTCGTGACATGTCCAAATGGCACAACAAAGACGACATGATTTGTTACTGGGCCCAATCTAAGTTCGATAGTTATAATTTTCCCTATTGGGCACATTCTTTGGATCTTCTTAATTGAAAGTTGGAGGAAATTTTACCCGTATCCTTACAATTATACCCATACCTCTATATAAAAATTTTTAGACCAAAATATTCTCGTATAAAAATTTATAAACTTTTTCATTTGTTCATCGGAAGACTTTATGCAAGTCTTCCGGTTCATATTTTTTCTTTTGTTCACCGGAAGATTTTTTGCAAGTCTTCCGGTTCATATTTTTTTTATTTGTTTATGGAAAACTTTTTGGAAGTCTTCCGGTTTATTTTTTATTTTATTTTTAAATTTTAATATAAATTATTGACATTATTTGTCATTTTTCTCTCTCCCATTTATCTTTTATTTTATATTAAAAATTCATTATTGAACATCAATTCATTTTTTTCTTGTTCAATAAATTTAGATTTTTGCCTTAAATATATAATTTTTATATACTGATAATTTAAATTAGAATAAAAGTATTATTAATAAAATAGTTGAGACAAGGGAGTAAAAAACAAATAGATCATAACTTTTTTCATAATTTGCTTGTTGGGACTATATTATTATTATTATCAATATTATTAAGTTTTTTATTATTGTAATTATTATATATATATATATATATATATATATATATATATATATATATATATATATATATATATATATATATATATATATATATATATATATATATATATATATGTAATAAAATAAGAATGAATCTGAACTATTAAATTTTAAAATAAATTATTGACATTATGTGTTTGTTTTTCCCTCCTTCATTTATTTTATATTAAAAAATTTATTATTGGATATCAGTTTATTTTTTTGCTTGTTCAATGAATTCAGATTTTTTCTTTAAATATAGAGTTTTCAAATACTGATAATTTAAAGAATGATTAATATATATTTCGGTCAATATTTGAATCCAGAAACTTAAAATAATTCTTTGATATTGGATTAAATAAAATTAAATGACTAAGAACTATAATTGTATATTATATATTCTACTTTTGATTTGAATTCATGAATAGAATTAAAAAATCAACGTTAAGATGATTAAAAATATTATAATATTTGATAATATTATATAAATGTTAATTTTAATTTTTAATAAATTATATGATAGGATAGTAAATAAAAAAAATTATAATTGACAATATTAAAAAAAAAATATATGAACCGGAAGACTTCTAAAAAGTCATCAGGTGAATAAACGAAAAAAATATGAATCGGAAGACTTGCAAAAAGTCTTCCGGTGAATAAAGAAAAAAAATGTGAACCGGAAGACTTCCAAAAAGTCTTTCGAGAACAAAATAAAAAAATATGAACCGGAAGACTTGCAAAAAATCTTCCGGTGAACAAATAAAAAAATTATAAATTTTTATACGAGGGTATTTTGATCCAAAAAATATTAATGTAGGAGTATGAATATATTGTACGGGTATGGGGTAAAATTTCTAAAGTTAAAAGCTACATTATTTTTTTTTTTTTTTTAAATTTTCTTTTTGCTTGATCATTTCTTTTAGATTTGATTACTTTTTTACTTCATCGGTTCATTGAACCAATTTTAAAAAATCGAAAAGCTCCTATCTTTTTATTCTTCAAATTCTTTTTATAATAAACATATATTTTTTAATCAATTTAATGTTTATGATTTTTTTAAGGTCTTTATTTTATTTTTCAAAGGTCTAAAAAGTGAAAATATTTTATCTTTTTTTCTGTAAAATTAAAGACCAAAATTAAATAAAATTATTTAAGAACTAAATTTAAAAAAGTCTTAATTTTATAAAGAAAATCTTTAAAAGTCCTGTATTACATTTTTTTTTTAATTTTACATTTTTTTCCAATATAAACTTTTTAGTTAAATATTTTACTAACACATGTTCTAGTGAGATTGAAAAGTATTTAACTCTAAATTTTTGAGCCACTTGAAAAGAGAACAAGCAACCTTCTTAGTATTCGTTGATTGCCATAACAGTTTTTCTTCATCTAAAAGATTGATGATTTTGTAGAACAATTATTTTTTCTAATAGTATCTATCTATATATACTACTATATAATATCACAATGTCTCTAATATTATTCTTACAGTTTGCTATGATTTATGCTAGTGTATTTCAATTACTGGTGATGAAAGCACGTACATACAATTGTTCTTGTACAAACATCCATGTTTTATATTATCTTCCATCATAGCTATATTTTAATACATAGCTTGACCAAATTAAATTTCCATTGCAGATGACATACAACTTTAGAAATCGTAGTCGAAATTTGAACTACCGAGAGACAAGTGATGCAGAAGATGATTTTTATATGATCATCGAAAACATAAGACAAACAAGCGATTATGGAAATAATCGTCGAAGAGGAAGAAGGCCCAACAGGCCGAATAGAGATGATAATATAAGAGAAGACAACACCTTAAGGTGGGAAAATCGGGGATCGCGCAACTCACATTCTCGTAGACCAAGAACGGTACAAACCTTTCAAATAAATGAAAGGAGATCTGTTCCAGAAACAAGTATTAGTTTGGAGCCAAATTTGATGGTTGAAAACTATGTTCCAGAGTCAAGTAATACTCTGGAACAAAATTTGACGATGGAAAATGATCCATCGTCAATAAATGAAAGAATGGAAGCCAACTCACCTCTCACGAATCAAACAACTGATGCTCAAGAAGTTACTCACAATGTGATGATGGAAGCAAATCCATCATCAATGAATGAAAGGGGCAATGTTTCTGAAACGATACAAAGAATTACCACAGAGACATCGTCGCAGCATGAAGACAGAATACTTTCTAAAAAAACCATTCTAGCATGGTTGACTGCTTGCAAGGCAATTGATGAAGGCAGCCAGGTACGGTACAAAGGCGGGGTCAAGACAATAACAGGCCGCATTAGCAACGGCGGTATCATATGTAGTTGTTGCGACCAAGAGTTTTCAGTATGGGATTTTGAGAAACATAATAGAAGTACTCAACAGCAACCATACAAAAATATTTTTTTGATAAAAAACAATCGCCCCATGGAACAAAGCATAATTGGGGCATGGATGAGTGCTGAGGAACAAAAACGACGCAGCGCGTTCACATATGTTCCCAATGAAAACGAACAAATCCATGATTCCTGTTTGGTTTGTGGAGGAGATGGGGCAGAAGGAGAAACTATCGTCTGTGATAAGTGTCCCTCCACTTATCATAAATCTTGCGCCAATATGCAGGTAATTAATTGTGTTTTTTTGTGTGCTTAGAACTGAATTACAATTTGTATATGAAAAAATAAGTAACTGTCAATTGTTTCTTTTGTTTTTATACTGCAGAATGTTAGATTCTTCCAGGATTGGTTGTGTCATTACTGCAGATGCAAATTCTGTGAAGTGGGTGAAGATAATGAGCATTTAATTACATGTTGCCATTGTCTCAAGAAATGTAAGTTTTTTTATAGTCATAACCTGTTTGGTATTTCGTAACCATAATCTATTGACGTGGTTTCCCAACTTTTGTAGTTCATTGGAGCTGCATTGAAGAGTCTGAAAAGGTTAAATTAATGAAAACTCCATTGCTTCAATGTTCTTGTAACTGCAAAGAGGTATGCATTCATTTTTGTTCTATAATTTATGCATCCAATATGAAAATTACATGATATTAGAATAGAATTTTGACTATATGCTTTTATGAAAGATTTATGAGACTCTGGAGGGATTTATCGGCGTTGAAAATAAAATCCTCGAGAGGGAGAACTTTTCCTGGTGTGTTGTCCGGCAAATGGATGCCATAAATGAGGATCGTTATGTAAGCATCAATTCAAAGGTTGCCGTTGCATGCATGCTGATGAATGAAGCTTTCGGAAGGATAAAGGACACACGTACCAATAACAATTTGGTCCAGAGTGTCATGTACCATCGAGGGTAAGCAATCACTATATTTCTTTAGTAATAGACCTCACATTATGTTGGAACCGCTGTATCTAATATTGACATTTCTGATTAAAAAAAATCCAGTGTCTGATATGTGTTAGTGATAAAACAGTAATAGGGTTTATAAAAGCTGAAGTTACAATTTCTGATAAAATGTTATTTTTAATTGCTTAGATCAAATCTGAGGAGGCTAAATTTTAGCCGATTTTATACATTTGTGATGGAGAAAGATGACACCGTGATTGCTGCAGCTCCCATTAGGTATATCCTCTTTTCCATTTGTTGATATTTGTTCAACTATTATTTGTAATGAAGTTTATGAGTATCCTTATATTACTTTGAAAACATTTTGATACACCTTGCTATTGAATTGTTATTTCATGACACTTCAGGATTTATGGCAAAGACATTGCGGAAATGCCTTTCTTTGCGACAGATGAGGCATTCAGAGGCAAAGGATTTTGCCGCTTATTTATTGGGCTAATTGAACAGGTGAGTGGTTAATTCAGAGTCAAAGGATTTTGTAGTTTCAATTGTAGTCTCGTAGACATTGAAAACTCTGATTTTGCAGTTTCTTCTGAGTCTTAAAATCAAAGAGTGGATTATTTCATCTTCTCAAGAGAGCCTTGAAATGTGGAAGGAAAAATTTAACTTCGATGTGATTATCGATAGAGGATTGAAGAGGAAAGTCTCTTCATGCAACATGTTGATATTGCCACATGTTATAAGATTACACAAGAAGATATATGATGTTGACATGAATATGGCGCAGGAGCCTGAAGAGTAACCATAATGCTTCCTCTCCTTTTCCCTATCGGTGTGTTGGAAGCTATATATATATATATATATATATATATATATATATATATATATATATATATATATATATATATATATATATATATATATATATATATATATATATATATATATATATATATATATATATATGAGGCTAATAAGAAATAGTTGTTTGTTCTTTGATTTCATTGATGATGGTTTTTAGTGGTGGGTTCTAGCCCGTTGTTTTTGGATTTGGATACTCTCATTTTTTATATATTCTTCTATCATGTTTTTAATTTAATTGTTTAGAATTTATAATTAATAATTAAATTAAAAAAAAATCATTTAATAGGAGAGAAAAAAGTCATTTAATAGGAGAGATAATAAAGACAAATTACTTATTCATTTTTTTCTCCTATAAAATTGGGAGATTCTTCTTTTCTTTTTTAGGTTTAGTGTGAATGTACTTGTTTGCTTTTATGTAAGGTTCAATTTTTGAATCTTATGGTTATAAAGTGTATATGTTTTTAAATTTCGTAACCAAATCAAATAATAACTAAAGTCCGAATTAAAATCACATTGGCGAAAGTAAAAAGCTTGTCTGATAATTTTTTTTCATGTTTGTTCAGACCTTTTTAATCAAAATTTAAAACCTTAAAACTCCAAAACTCAACTAAATCTAATAAATAATCTTAACTTTTAAACTTATCTCAACAATCTATTTTAAGAATGATAAAGAATTATAAAAGATTGTTGCATACAGTGTAAATTAATTTTATATTATTAACTAATATCTCCCATATCACATTTATATTTTAAATTTTTTATAATAACATGACTAAATTGCTTGTTTTTTTATTGAATAAAATATAAAACTATTTTTTTTATTGTATGAACATATCTATTAAACCCTTTAAATATATGCCAATCAAAATTTATGCCACAATAGCAGTAATGTGACAACAATCAGAGTTACTGCAATTACAACACATCACAGTTTAAAAGCATGGTTACCATGAAATATTAATGTAACTTTTGCCGGTGAAAATTTCGACAGAGGTTGACCCTCAATAAATACATATACTCTTTTTTGACAAGCTATTAATTTTTTTTTTTTTTTTTTGTATATAGTGAAAAGCATATCCATTTTATAATTGACACAACTTTTCAAATTGTGTTCAATCTTTTGACTAAATTATAATATTGAAGGGACAGCAATATTTATATTGGTTCAACTGGGTGTCACATTATACGTGACATTAATGGTAAGTTAATTTATATTTCTTTTGACTAAATGTATAGTCGCATATAAAAATAATTAGTATATTTGTGTCAAAATAATAATAATAATAATAATAATAATAATAATAATAATAATAATAATAATAATAATAATAATAATAATAATAATAATAATAAATACATAACTTTATTTACTTATTGAATAAGTAAAATACATTTATTTGATTGAATAGAGAAGAATAAAAAAAATGAATGATAAAATATTGTAATAAAATATTAATTTGTATTAAATTATTTTTTCTTTTTGACCATTGTCTTTAATGCCTTTTTCCTAACTTTAAAATTATTTTTATGATGTATTATATATAAGAAAGAAGTTAAATGTACTTTATTTAAATTTCAGCCAAATACATTTGACTATTTAATTATATCATTTTATCCTAAAAAAACAAAATGAGTCACTTTTACAAATAAAATATAAATTAAAAATATGTTGTTAATTTTGTGTGTGATTGGGAAATAATAATTTTTTTTACAAATTGTTATTTCATTAATACTATTAAAAAAACTTCTCTTCTTTGAGCTAGGCCTCACACATATGGTTGATTTATATATATATTTTAACAATAACTTAAATGTATTTTTTCACATTATCTTATTTAATTTAATGTTACTTTAATTTTTTTTAATTTTTAGTTTATAATTATAAATAACTTTATTAAATTAATATATAAATATAAACAAATGATGTTATCAAGCACCTTATACCAATATGTTACACCCATTTAATTCAACCATCATATATTATGAACTATCCCACTCACTTTTATATTAGCTTTTTTTTAAAGAAGTGATATTAATTGGTAAATTACTTTAAAATATTTTTAAAAACCATTATGATTTAATGAATTGAATTAATTTATTTATTATTAAGTTATTATTATTATTATTTAAACAATCTCTTATAAAACTTATGTGACGAACACAATTCAAACCCTTGTCACCATTCTCCTCTTACCCAATAATTAAAATTTCTTAGCAATATTCGCCAACAAGCAAAATTTAAAATTTAAAATAATTTTCTTGATGTATTTATTACATATACAAGAATGTCAACACGGTACATGACTTCAAAAAAAGTGGAATGTCTCTTGCAAATATTAATGCTGACAAATATTAAGGTTCTGTTTAATAAAACTAGTTGATAATTAATAGTCGATGATTGATGTTTCAGACTGATCGAATGGTTGGGCCACTTCTACTCCCAGAACGATCTAATTGTCTATGTCTAACCTCTTTGGGGGGAGAATTTACCTTTCTACCCCTCCAACAGGGGAGGCTGACCCATTTACTATTGGTCACAACACTTCTCTCTGTCAGTCTCTGTCCGTCACGCACAATTCCACCATCCAGAAACAGCCAAGATGTTTGTGCCCGTAACTACGACCCCTGCTCGTGCCAACGGCTAGTTATGGGCACGTCTGCCCGTCCCAATGACTATTTTTGTCAGTTACCTATTTTTCAAAAAACGGTTATCTCGCCCCGAAAATAGGGACCAATGGCCAAGTGCTGGGGGCATTATAAAAACTCTCTCACTTGAGAGGGCCAGGTATCCAATTTCTCACCTTGAAACACACATATTTTGTACTTGCTCCCTCTCTTGCTCGTTTTCTTACTTTAGCATCGGAGTGCCTTGTAGGTACACCCCCTCCTCTTTCACACACAGCATCACAGACATTCGTCTTTGATCCATCTCAGATTCTGATCTTTCGGTAAGATCAACTAATAACTACTAATTGATAATTGATAGTTGATAGTTTATAATTGATAACCGATAGTTTATAAGTTAATTTGAGTGTTTGTTAAATTAGCGATTACACTAACTGATAGATACAAAATGACATAAAAAGATATTCTTAATTAAAAATTAGTGGTTCATTATCTTATTATATTATATTATTAAATTATTTTTATTTGATAAAACTGAATATATTAATAAAAATATACAATCAAATTTAATATATATGAAAAATTAAAGATAGCATCAAAATATATTAAATATATTAAAGTCTCCACCACTGATGACATGAAGAGATTCTTGCTAGAACGCGGGCTCTGTCCTCGCACAGACTTCGCTAAAGCTATAGGCCTCTGGCCCCCTGCAACACTGGACGCTTTCCTCATCAGAGCTCAGTCGTACATCCTTTACGAGTAGAAGGCGGCTGCCAGCTCTGCCCGAGAGTCCAGGCACCGGGAGAATGCCCGGTCAAACAGGACCAACGAACCCTCGACATCCCGTCGAGGAGACAAAAAACAAGAAGACCGTCCTCGAGAGACCCTGGACAACAAGGGGCCCTCTGGCAGGTTCCACAAATAAACCCCCCATGACGGTCTCGAGGGAAAAGATTCTCACTGAGTGGGCCAACTCAGAATTTTGCCAAGCAGGGGTCCGGTTCCCAAAGCAGATACCGACCAAACCCAATACGAACAAGTCCAAATACTGTCGGTTCCACAAGAGTCACGACCATACGGTGGAGGATTGCATCCACCTGAAAGATTCCATTGAAATACTCATCAGGGATGGACACCTGAAACAGTTCGCCAAGCGAAAGGAAGCTCCTCGACTAGATGCCCAAGAGGCCCAGAAGGTCGAAGAAGAAACACTTTCCTCTGGAGAAACTAGCCTGCAGGTCG